AACAACGGAGGCGGCCTGTGGTGTTGGAACGACAGAGCTCCAAACAGTTCTGGGGGATCGTGGTTCAGAGACACCTCACGGAAACCCTTTGGATGAGTATTTTTTTGCACTTACATCTGTCTTTGTTGACACCCGCCATGTGTGCACAAACAGAGCGAAAATACTGGCCGGAAATTAACTCTTCTTCTTCTTTGTTTTGTGCCGTGTTGCAACCATAAAAGGATCTAAACTTAATTGCAATTCATTAATTATTCGGCAAATAACGTTTCAATCAGCTTTTATCGCATAAGCAGTATATCGATCAAAATAAAATCCGATGAGACCGAACGTATTTCATTTGAGTTGATATTAATGAAACTCAATTGAATTTTACTGTTTCCAAGGTAATTTTCATTCGATATAAATTAATTCGGATAAAAACGTGTGGATGGAAACTGTGATCTTGCCAGTGGATGGACCCTGTATCGCATCTTTCGTTGCTTTCTCTGCTGTGGCCCATTAAGTGAATGCAACCTTTGGTGAGCCATCAAATCTGGAGAGCTGAACAATCTTGTCTTTGCAATCCTCACATTTATCATACATGCACCTTTTCCGGGAGATGTCACAGGTCATCATTTTAGTCAAACTCTCGAGATCTGAAGTATCTGAGCCTCAAATAATGCAAATTCTTAATGACAAATCTGAGATTTTCATGGATCTACACAGACACGTGTTCTGCAGAGGGAGTGGGGTGTACAACCCGGCGAAGCTTACAGAAGATGGAGTATGATATGTTGTTTGTGTTTTTAGTAAGACATTTTTTGTGAAGTTTTTTCATTGTGTCAGAAACCTTTTCTTCTGCACCTTGTTCTTGGTGATTTTTTGTTTTCGTCCAGTGCAAACCTGCATGATCGAACTGTCTTGTAATATGGTCTGTGAAGGTCAGCTGGTCATCAAATGTTACTTCAAGGTTTCTGACCGACCTTGATGTGGTGATTAAGGTTCCAACCGCATCAAAGCACAGAGACAGCGCTCATAAAGATAATAAATGATATTCACCTCAATACAATATAGGCAAAATATCAGTGTTGGTACTAGTCGACTTCAGGGCTGCATTTGACACTGTCAATCACAACATACATCTTGATAAGCTGGAAAACTGTGTCAGGCTTTCTGGGATGTTTCTAAAATGGTTACGGTCATGATTAGAAGGGAGAGGTTATTATGTGAATATAGGAGACTAAGTCTGAGTGGACATCCATGATATGTGGAGTCCCTCAAGGCTCAATTCTTGCAACACTCCTGTTCAACCTGTATATGCTCTCACTGAGCCAAATAATGAGAAAGAACCAAATTGCTTTTAGCTACACAGACGACACCCAGATCTACTTAGTCCTATCGCCCAAAGACTACAGCCCCATTGACTCCCTGTGCAAATGCACTGATATTAACAGTTGGATATGACAAAACTTTCTTCAGTTAAAAAAAAAAGACAAAACTGAAGTCATTGTGTCTGAAAAACAAAGATGAAGTTCTCAAGGTGAACGTATAAATTTACTCTTGGTGTCAAACATTAAAAATCAAGTCAGGAATCTTATTTTCAGTATCTTAGTCAATTTAAGTCAGGCCTTATTTTCAGTATTAAGCAATAACTAAATCAGCATAGGTTTGTACCTACTATGTATCATCTCAATTAGATTCTTTGTTTCCTGTCAAGACTTAGAGAAAATTGTTCATTCTTTTATCATTAGCAGGGTGGATTATTGTAATGGACTCCACACTGACCTTCCCAGAAAGACCAAAAGACAGTTGCAGCTCATTCAGTTTGTTGCTGCTATATGAGCAGAACCAGAAAATATGAACATATCACCAGTCCTCAGGTCTTTACACTGGCTTCTGGTTACGTTTGGGATTCATTTTTAAGTTTTACTTGTTTATAAAAAAACCTCAATAGCCTCGGACCTCAATACATTGTAGATATGCTGACTGAATATAAACCTGTCCCTCAGTTCATCCGGATCACATTTCTCGATGTCTCAGAAGAGACTGACAAAAATGAATCTCTGTCTTCTCCATCAGAACTGTGTTTGTCTAATCTTTCTTTTCAAATTCAAATTGATTCTCGAAAGAATGGAATTGATAACATCTTAGCCCATAAACGAGATAATTGTGTCCACAAAACTCTTTAAATTGAGCAATGGTTTGACCTCTGCTCTCGGTTAATTGAATGTTCACAGCATCAAAGTCTGGTTTCCAGTTTGGCTTGTTGCTGTGCACATAATACACATGCCAGTCCAGCTGGATCTGCAGGGTCAAATGCCTTCTAAAAGATCAGTGAGATAAGTCATTCTGGACAGCAAATACAATATTTTTTAATTTGTACTATTTTAATGTAATCAAGTTTATATTATGATCACATTATAATATAATATATGTTTTGTTTACAGATGTATGAGAAAATAAAAGCAAAGAATAAAAATGATTCAATAAAACATTTAAATATAATTAAAAGAATAAAAAAGAGTACTTATATCAGACAAAGTGCAACCAGTCAGACGTGCACATTGTGCTCATTCAGTAAATGCAGCTAAACAGTTGTGTTTTGAGTCTGGATTTGATTTTGACTACTGAAGCTAAGAGTGCTTTTCTGCAGCGATCCTCCATAGAGAAATGTGCCATCAGAATTAGTTTTACGTGTTTGACTTTGCAAAGCTGACATCCGGAGTGGGAGTATGATTTCGACAGGTGCTGGGGTAAAACATTATAGTGATTTTATGTGTGTCTCAGTACATGGTTATTGTTTATGTTGTTAATAAAAGAAACAATGGTTTTCACACTTTGCTTCGTTTTTTTCCTTCTTTTTAAATAATTAAAAGGCTACCATTTGCAGTTGTGCTTAAGAGAAAGATATGTTGTGGAGAGAAGAGACCTGATGCACCTGCTCATAGAAGTTATCTTCTACACACAATTTACACACACACACACACACACACACACACACACACACACACACACACACACACACACACGCACGCACGCACACACACACACACACGCACGCACGCACGCACGCACGCACGCACGCACGCACACACACACACACACACACACACACACACACACACACACACACACACACACACACACACACACAGGAACCGAATAGTTACACAAGAACCAAAATCACAAAACAAAGCAGGGGAAAACAATTATATATTAAGAACGAGTACTAACAAACAAGGAGTAGTTCACTTAAAAAAAAAAAAAAAAAAAAAAAAAACTTTTGCTGATAATTTACTCACCCCCATGTCATCCAAGATGTCCATGTCTTTCTTTCTTCAGTTGAAAAGAAATTAAGGTTTTTGATGAAAACATTACAGGATTTTTCTCCATATAATGGACTTCATTGGGCACCAAACGGTTCAAGGGCCAAATGAGTTTCAGTGCTTCAAACGGCTTTAAACGACACCAGACGATGAATAAGGGTCTTATCAAGAAAAATTAATAAAAAAAAACTGTTCTTTTCGAACTTGTCCATCAAAATGAACTAATCCTTTTTCGAGTCATTTCTGATTCATCTTCTGGTATTGTTTAAAGCCCTAGAAGCTGTACTGAAACTCTCATTTGGACCGTTTGGTGCTCAGTCCATTTTATGGAGAAAAATCCTGGAATGTTTTCATCAAAATCCGTAATTTCTTTTCGACTGAAGAAAGTAAGAGACATGGACATCTTGAATGACACAGGGGTGAGTAAATTATCAGCAAAAGGTTTTTAGTTTTTTTTTATATATATATATTTTTTTTAAGTGAAGTACTCCTTTACAGTAATCCAGACAGGAATTACAGGTGTGGAAAACCAGTTAATGAACGTCATGCGCGTGCACGCGAGGGGGAGTCAGATTCTGGCAGGGAGACCAAATTGACAACACCTCAAACTCACGCCATTGGTTGAGCGCTAACTCAAAATCGTTTTCGTCCTTATATAAGCGTGATTTTCCAGCAGAGTTCATTCATTGTGGTCGCAGATGGAGAGGATGGCAGCTCGAGTGTACTGCACTGTGTTATTGTGTCTGGCTGGATGCTGGAGTTCAACAGAAGCTGCTCCAGGATTAAACTACACAGGTGAGATTCATGTTCTTTAACTTAATTACACAGCACGAAGAAATGCAACAAGTGCCTTACAAAAAATGACATCTTTGCATATTACAATTCTCAAACATACAGAGTAGGCCTAGGCTACAGTCCAGTTAAAGATGAATTTTGTTGGCAACATCAGTTTAAATAAAAATTCCTATAAAATAATTTTTAGCCTATTTTTATGTTCTTAAGTTGTGTTTTATCTATTACCCTTTCTCTACATATTCCATTGTAACACATAGATATTTTTTTACACTAAAACAAGAATATTAATGTTAATAAAATGGTTTAAAAAAAAACAAAAAAAACAAAAAACGTTACAAGATACTTTGCCACCAATCAGACTTTGATCAATCCTGATTTGATTAAATAAATAAATAAATAAAGTTTTGCATTTAGTTTTAGTTTAGGGTTTGTTTTGTAGATTAAAATGAATTTGAGAGATACAATTGGTTACAGGCTGTAACTTGCAGCCCTTGTTTCATACTTCTTTTTTTTTATTATTATCTGACATTGACACAGTTTAGGAAGAAGTAGATTTCCAAACTACTTTGATTTGAAGCAGATAAATATAAATAAGTGAATAAGCTTGAGACACAAATTGCAAAACCACTCGCTGTCCAGCCACCCTCCCTCATGTTCATGGACAAGAACATGATCAATCACAGATTTCATCAGATATTCAAAATGTTGTCTTTGTTAAAGGCCAGTTACAGGTATTATATTTTATTATATTACATTATTTAGTGCTGTCAATCGATAAAACAATTAAACTAATTAATTGCACATTTCTGTAATTAATCGTTCTTTAAAAAGTCCTTTGTATATTTTTATTTGTTTGATATTTGTTTGAAGATTGTAAGGTGTGCAGTTATTTTGAGGGAAACGCACAGCTAAAGTGGTTTCAAGCAGGACCGAACACATTACATGTTTACATCTCTTCACCAAATGCTTTCAGTTATTTCAAAGGTCCTTACAGCCAAGAACAGCAAAAGCACCAAAACCCACGACGAATAAAACCTTTAAAGTAGAAAGACTGAAATAGTTCTTTCAAGTAAAATATATTCCTATATATATAACTTCCAAAATATTTTTCTACAGTGAAAAAATCATTCAGCATTCAGTGATATATTCTCTGTCATGTGTCTGTATAGAAGCAAAGCCAGGAGTGTGTCCAAGGATAAACAGTGACATAAGGTGTATCATGAAGGATGCCGAGTTGTGTGACGATGACAGCGAGTGTCCCAAAAATCAGAAATGCTGCGGCACTGCATGCGGTGGAACTCTGTGTACGGCTCCAATTACAGGTATTATATTATATTATATTATATTATATTATACTCTATTGTATTGTATTGTATTATAATGTATAGCCTAGTGCTGTCAATCGATTAAAAAACCTAATTGATCACACATCTTTCTGTAATTAATTGCAATTAATCATTCTTTAAAAAGTTATTTTATATATTTTCATATTGTAATAATTTCATATTTAATGCCCAAATGAATTTAGACACAACATAAAGACAGAAGCAAATATTTTAAACCTTTGTATAATGCGATATTTTTATAAAAAGCCATTAAAGGCACATAATTGAAATCGACCAAATTTAACTTTTTTTTTTAGGCTTTATAAATATAAAAACCTTTAAAGGATTGGTTCACTTTTGAAAACTTTTGCTGATAATTTACTCACCCCCATGTCATCCAAAATGTCCATGTCTTTCTTTCTTCAGTCGAAAAGAAATTAAGGTTTTTGATAAACATTCCAGTATTTTCTCCATATAATGGACTTCAGTGGGAACCGATTTTAAAGTAGAAAGACTGAAATAGTTCCCTTTCAGTCGAGAACGTCAGAAGTAGTCAATGTGGACTGAATGGAGCTCGCTGGTGGGATTTCCTCCATTCAGTCGACGTCGAATACGTCCACCGTTTCCTCCTTTAGGGAACAGTAGTGGGTTGTATACGCAACCAGGACGTTGTTTCTAGTAAAACGTATTCCAATAACATGGTACAACTTTAAAAAAAAACATTTTCTACAGTGAAAAATTCATTCAGTGATCTGGCTTCTCTGTCATGTGTCTGTATAACAGCAAAGCCGGGAGTGTGTCCACAGACAATTGCTGAATTAGTAAGGTGTAGCGAGAAGGATCTCGAGTTGTGTGTCGGTGACAGCGAGTGTCCCAAAAATCAGAAATGCTGCGGCACTGCATGCGGTGGAACTCGGTGTACGGCTCCAGTTACAGGTATTATGATATGTTTAGTGCTGTCAAGCTATTAATTGCATCCAAAATAAAAGTTTAGATTTACATAATATGTGTGTGTACGGTGTATAATTATTTTCTATACAAATACACACATGCATGTATATATTTAAGAAATATTAAAGCTACAAAAGTTATTCAGTCAAGAGCGATGATTTATTTTCTCTCTTGTATTATTAACTAATGTTAATGACGGATCACAGCAGCAGGTTTGTTAGGCTGCTGTCACTTTAAGCACTTTTGCGTCTTATTGTACCTAAACCTTTTAAAAGCATTTGCATGAATGAGAGTGTGATCATGTATTGTAAAGCTAACCAAAGGATGATGGGGGGGGGGGGGGGATGCTCCAGTTACAGGTATTATATTATATTAATTATATTGTATTCTATATTATAATATACTGTATTGTGCTGTCAATCGATAAAAACAAAAAAAACAATTAATCAAATTTTTTCTGTAATTAATTGCACCTAACATACAAGTACTTTTATATATTTTTATATTGTAATAATTTCGCTGATTAATTTTACTTACGGTAATCACCATTTTAATGTAGAAACAACATAGACAATAGCCAATTTTGGAAAAGTTTTAATGGCATCTTTATTTAAAAAGGCCACTAATTTTAGCCATAATTATAGGCATTCCACATTACAGTATCATTGAAATCTATCAAATTTAAAGGGCAGGTCTTGCCCACATTATGTCCACATCATTTCACCAAATGATTTCAGTTATTTCAAAGGTCCTTAAAGCCTACAACAGCAAAAGCACTAAAACCCACGACGAATAAAACATGAAATTTTAAAGTAGAAAGACTGAAATAGTTCTTTCAAGTAAAATATATTCCAATAACATAAGGATACAACTTCCAAAATATTTTTCTACAGTGAAAAAAATCATTCAGTGATATATTCTCTGTCATGTGTCTGTATAACAGAAAAGCCAGGAGTGTGTCCAAGGACAAACAGTGACATAAGGTGTATCATTAAGGATGCCGAGTTGTGTGACGATGACAGCGAGTGTCCCAAAAATCAGAAATGCTGCGGCACTGCATGCGGTGGAACTCGGTGTACGGCTCCAATTACAGGTATTATATTATATTATATTATAATCTATTGGATTGGGTTGTATTATAATGTATAGTGCTGTCAATCGATTAAAAAACCTAATTGATCACACATTTTTCTGTAATTAATTGCAATTAATCATTCTTTAAAAAGTTATTTTATATATTTTCATATTGTAATAATTTCATATTTAATGACCAAATGAATTTAGACACAACATAAAGACAGAAGCAAATATTTTAAACCTTTGTATAATGCGATATTTTTATAAAAAGCCATTAAAGGCACGTGGAGTGTAATTGAAATCGATCAAATTTAACTTTTTTTTTTTTAGGCTTTATAAATATAAAAACCTTTAAAGGATTAGTTCACTTTTGAAAACTTTTGCTGATAATTTACTCACCCCCATGTCATCCAAAATGTCCATGTCTTTCTTTCTTCAGTCGAAAAGAAATTAAGGTTTTTGATGAAAACATTCCAGTATTTTCTCCATATAATGGACTTCAGTGGGAACCGATTTTAAAGTAGAAAGACTGAAATAGTTCCCTTTCAGTCGAGAACGTCAGAAGTAGTCAATGTGGACTGAATGGAGCTCGCTGGTGGGATTTCCTCCATTCAGTCGACGTCGACTATGTCCACCGTTTCCTCCTTTAGGGAAAAGTAGTGGGTTGTACACTGTAAAATCCAATTAGTACACCTTACTTGAAAAAAGCATGCAAACCGATTGCACTCAAAAAATTGAGTAAAGTGAAATAGGAATAATATGTAGTCCTAACAAGTGCATGCCTAGTAGTGTACACTTACAAGAGAGTTCCAGTAACTTAAAATAATTTCTATACTATACTTGATCTTGTATACTTTCCAGTATCTGTGAACCGAGGAAGTGTACTCCCAGAGTGCATTGCGGCATGAATAAATTTATTGCTTTATTTTACTATTTTTGGCTTTATTACAATTTTATTTGCTATCGTTATTGGGGTTATACTGAAAAGAGACAGCAAATAAAATTGTAATGTCTAATTAATTAAATGAGTTTTTTAAATGTTACCACTGTTGTGGTTTGCATGCTGAATGTTGAAGTCTGTGTGTGACTCAACCAAAATTGCAAGATATTGTCACAAATATAAAGGAATTATATCAACCCAATTAAAGATTTATGCCATAAGCGTTGGCAATAAAATGTTAAAAGATCATTATTATACATGAATATTTATGTTATATATAATTTATTAATTAATTTAAGTATGTGTGTGTGTATGTATATATATATATATATATATATATATATATATATATATATATAAATTACTTCACTTCCTTTGAAATCAAATAATTATGATTTCAAGTTGCATCACTGCAAACAATTGGAAGAGAACCATAATATAAATTAAGTTCCAAGTGCCCAACCAAAGGGAACATCAATCACAATAATGGTGAGAAAGGGAAATCAACAAGTCAACTAGAGAATTTTGATGTTCTCCCAAAAATATTTAGGTGTATTGACAATAACACTCAAGATGACTGGAAAATGAGGGAATGCAAATTGAAAATGGTACTCAAACCAGTCAAGTAATGTTTACAAGGTTTTTCTGAGTAACGAAAGCACACATGCAAACAGTACAGATTACTAAGAAATGTTAAGTAAGTTCAACAAATTATTGCACTTTAAGTAAAGTTAACATAAAATTCTTAGTAAGAACAATGTTAGATTTTACAGTGCCGTTGTTTCTTGTAAAACGTATTCCAATAACATGGTACAACTTTAAAAAAAAAAAAAAAATTCTACAGTGAAAAATTCATTAAGTGATATGGCTTCTCTGTCATGTGTCTCTATAACAGCAAAGCCAGGAGTGTGTCCAAAGAAAAATGCTGAATTAGTATGGTGTAGCGAGAAAGATCTCGAGTTGTGTGTCGGTGACAGCGAGTGTCCCAAAAATCAGAAATGCTGCGGCACTGCATGTGGTGGAACTCGGTGTACGGCTCCAGTTACAGGTATTATGATATGTTTAGTGCTGTCAAGCTATTAATTGCATCCAAAATAAAAGTTTAGATTTACATAATATGTGTGTGTATTTGTATAGAAAATAATTATACACCGTACACACACATGCATGTATATATTTAAGAAATATTAAAGCTACAAAAGTTATTCAGTCAAGAGCAATGATTTATTTTCTCTCTTGTATTATTAACTAATGTTAATGACGGATCACAGCAGCAGGTTTGTTAGGCTGCTGTCACTTTAAGCACTGCCCTGCGTTCACTTTTGCGTCTTATTTTACCTAAACCTTTTAAAAGCATTTGCATGAATGAGAGTGTGATCATATATTGTAAAGCTAATCAAAGGCTGAGGGGGGGGGGGATGCTCCAGTTACAGGTATTATATTATATTAATTATATTGTATTCTATTATAATATACTGTATTGTGCTGTCAATCGATAAAAAGAAAAAAAACAATTAATCACAATTTTTCTGTAATTAATTGCACCTAAAATACAAGTACTTTTATATATTTTTATATTGTAATAATTTCGCTGATTATTTTTACTTGCGGTAATCACCATTTTAATGTAGAAACAACATAGACAGGTCTTGACTGCATTGCGTACGTCATATCACTTCGTCAAATGATTTCAGTTATTTTAAAGGTCCTTATAGTAACAGCAGCAAAAGAACCAAAACTCCTAATAAAAAGACATTCAGCATTCAGTGATCTGGCTTCTCTGTCATGTGTCTGTACAACAGTAAAGCCAGGAGTGTGTCCAAGCAAAAAATATGAACCAGCAGAGTGTACCTGGATAAAATTCAAGTCGTGTGCCGATGACAGTGACTGTGCCAACAATCAGAAATGCTGCAGCAATGGATGTGGACGTCAGTGTATGGATCCAGTTACAGGTATTTTTATTAAATTATTTTATATACATTATATTATATTAATTATGTTAGGTTCTATAATGATATGTGTTATATCGAACAACTGCACCAATGTGTGTGTGTTTGTGACCGGTGTGTGTGTGTGTGATACAAAGATGGATTATAGCCCAGCTGAGAGGCCCATAGTAGCGCACAATTTATCTTGATGTAGTTGTAATATACAGTGTTAATTTTTCTCCATCTAGATGTCTGTAGACTGCCTATGGAATCTGGTATGTGTTTAGCATACATACCCGTGTGGGGCTTCGATTCTTCTGCAAGAAAGTGTGTGTCCTTCATATATGGAGGCTGCCAGGGAAATGGCAACAGGTTCGACAGCCCGGAAGAGTGTGAGGAGTCATGCGTGAGAAGCGGTAAGACACGCACATTACACTTGGGATAATACACAGGGACGGATTATGACTTGCAAAGGCTCTGGGGCCAATTATCTTTAAATTCAGGAGATTTTAGTTTTATACATATACATTTACTATACACAGGGTGTGATTTGTGAAAAAAAAAAAACAGAGGGGGGCATGTTTTGAGAAATAATTTCATAAAAATAAATCATGAGAACATGAACTTCATCACTGCATTTGCAGGAAAAAAATTCTTATTAACTCAAAGTATCCTAACGCAATATATTTACTCTAATAGCTTCCCACACATATATGAACTGTGATCATGTGCAACAAAAAAACGTGCAATAATTAAATCAATAGATTAATAGGGTAGGCTCATTTATATCAGCCTCTCCTGAACCATGGATTGATTGCAAAGTTAAACCATAATAGAAACAGTTTTACTGCTAAAGTGATGGTTAACGTTACATCTACAGTGAAATGATTGAAAAGACAGATGCATTATCTATGTTCGTTAATTCGCCTCATTCGTGCCGCAGAACCTTTAGACGTTTCGGGGAAACGGGAAAACAAGAAAACGTGGAGGCAAAATGACAAAATAATTCATCAGAATACCTAGCAGAATTGTCTCCTTCTCCTAGCTCATGGACGGCTCCTATTCACACTCTCCGCCTCTGCATGTTTTGGAAGGGAATGATTCAGATTTCTCATGCCGCAGCCACTAGAAGACAGACGGGTTTCTCTCGTCACATTACGTAGTCAAGCTCTGTTTGAGTCTGCGCGTCAGGGACGGAAGTGCTAAAAAAATTGAAAACGGGCTTCAATCGTCTCAATGGAGCTCCAATGAGATCGCTCCGTCCACTTCTTTTATTGTCTATAGGTAATTCGCCTCATTCGTGCCGCAGAACCTTTAGACGTGTGTAAACGCGTCTTTTACATTGAATTAACATTGAAATCACTCGTGCCAGATGTTCAAGAGTGAGTGACTAATCAAAAAACCTTTGCTTTATCTCAGTTGAATGAAACACCGTGTGTTTAACTTCGGCCATTCTCAGTGACTGGGACACTAGCTCTGCTTGTCATCATAGAAACAGAAAATCAGATTGTGATGTTTATTCTGAATAGCTGCTGCCTTCCTTTCTACAAACAACTCCACAGCCCAGGAGTTGCAACCGTCTCACAAGTGTTGATAGGCCATTGTCCGTGAGGTGTAACCAATCAGATCGCTCCGTGGGCGGGACATTGAGCAAGTCTGCAGACTCGTGCAGAGCGGCAGCTATATGAGAGTCAGCCAAAGTAGCGCATTTAAAAATAAAATTGATTTTAATCAAACCGCGGATCCATGATAAGTTTTCTGATCCGTCTCACCACTAGTGTAGTAGCACTGATCATTTTGAGGGGGGGGATAAATTTATCCCCACCGGGGATAAAAATAATTAAGAAGAGGCAGGGATACATTGACCAGAAAGGGGGAAATCCCACGCATCCCCACGGCAAATCGCACCCCGCATATACGTACAATCACCTAAAGGATAATTAGGAACACCTGTTCAATTTCTCATTAATGCAATTGTCTAATCAACCAATCACATAGCAATTGCTTCAATATATTTAGGGTCAAGACAATCTCTGGAAATCCAAACTGAATTTCAGAATGGGAAAGAAAGGTGATTTAAGCAATTGAGCGTGGCATGGTTTTTGGTGCCAGACGGGCCGGTCTGAGTACTTCATAATCTGCTCAGTTACTGGGATTTTCACGCACAACCATTTCCGAATGAGAACATGGATCCATCATGCCTTGTTACCACTGGGCAGGCTGGTGGTGTAATGGTGTGGGGGATGTTTTCTTGGCACACTTTTGGCGCTTTTCCACTGCATAGTACGGTACGGTTCGGTTCGGTTCGGCTCACTTGTGGTGCTTTTCCACTGCATGGTACGGTACAGTACGGTTCGCTTCAGGTCGCTTTAAATGGTACCTGGTCTGTTGAGGTTCCAAGCGTGAAACACTAAAATGTGACGTGAAACACTGCAGATCACTGATTGGTCAGACAGAATCGTCACTACTAGCGTCATTGGATTTGAGACACGAGACACTTTTTTAGCAGTATTTTGTTTTGCTGCCATCAGCCTCATTTTAAACACATTTTTCCGTCTAGCAGTTAAAAACAACCACATACCGAGAATCAGGAACACCATCCCCTCGATAGTCTCCATTGTTCCTGTGTTGTGGGTTTGAAAATGTGGTGCTTTTAAGATGATGTCATGGCAGTAGAGGCGCGCGCAAATAACGATCAGTCCCACACACTTTGAAGGGGTACTACTGCAGTGGAAACGCAAAGCGAGCCGAACTGTTCCGCGCCGAGTCGAAGCGTACTGAGCCGAACCGTACCGTACTATGCAGTGGAAAAGCGCCTTTTAGGCCCCTTAGTGCCGATTGGGCATCGTTTAACTGCCTACCTGAGTATTGTTTCTGAGCATGTCCATCCCTTTATGGCTAGATGTGAGGGGTCATGCGGAGTGTGAGTCACCGTGGTATAAGCCCAAAGGTCAATGCCCTTCGAGGTGTCCATTGTTGAGGTATTAATGGACTTCGGTGGAGGCAACGGTCGTTCATTAAGACCTCCGCTGTGCATCGGATGGTTCACACCTCGCCGTCATCCATTTTGTACATGGCAATGGACACCTCATTGGGCATTAATCCTTACTCGAACAACTGCACCGATGTGTGTTTGTGACTGGTGAATTTTGTGCGTGTGATCCAAAGATGGATTGTGGCCCAGCTGAGAGGCCCATAGTGACTAGCGCACAATTTATCTTGATGTAGTTGTAATATACAGTGTATTTTCTCCATCTAGCTGCCTGTAGCCTGCCTATGGAAGTTGGTCCTTGTAAAGCAGCCATGCCCAGGTGGGGCTTCGATCCTGCTGCGGGAAAGTGTGTGTCCTTCATGTATGGAGGTTGTGAGGGAAATGACAACAGGTTCAACAGCGAGGAAGAGTGTGAGGAGTCATGCGGAGTGAGAAACGGTAAGACACACACATTACACTTGGGATAATACACAGGGATGGATTATGACTTGCAAAGGCTCTGGGGCCAATTATCTTCAGAGAACTCCTATGTCTACAATGTTGGTAAAGACAGGGCTGCCAACTCTCATACATGTTTTTTCATTGTGTGAAAGAAGAGCGAAGCAAAGAGGACTCTGACAGGGCAGGTTACTTTTGTTATGAAAGTCTCAGCTTTCAAATTCTGTCAATTTTATTGCTGAAATTCTAACAAATGGCGCTCTTTAATGTGAAGTGAAAGATCACCGTAGCACCAAAGTGGCACGTGAACTGATCTAAAGTTCTTCTTTAGTAGATATTAAATAAACACAAATGAACTATATTGAAAGAAACCATACAGCTTGATGAAGGTCTCATGTAATCACTTAATCAGTGTTTCAACCAGTGTTGCCAGATCTCACGAGACAAATAAGCAATCAGGCCTGTGAAAACAAGCCCAAAACAAGTGACTTTTTTTTTTTCTTTCTATGGATTCCCCCTAAGTTCTGGGAGGAGAAAAATAAATAAATCCGTGGGGACGGATTTTAAACTTTGGGTACAGATTTTTAATTTTACCTCCACATGGACAGATTGGTAAACTGAAGATACAATTTTTAAATTACTATAACCCTGAAACGGGAGAAATCATTGATAATATTGGTGTGCAGCAATAAAGTGGTTCCTGCTATGATAAACAAATTAGTGATTTAGAAAAGATTTAAATAAACTAAACTGGTTTAACCATTCCAGTCAAATCCATTTAAACAGGTGAGGATGAGGCTTGGTCCATACGTTTTTCTTAAGACGGATAACACTTTAGCCTCATATGAAAAATACCACCACTGTTATCTCTCAAGTTGCTTCAGGTACCAAGGTGCAAATTAAACATATTTAACAGCAAAACAATTTGTCTGAACTGAACCCTTGAAATATCTCAAAATTAAATATCATTTAACATTCAACATGTTTTAGTTCTACATCCAGACGTTCTTGGTGGCCCACATTCAAACAAGAACATTATAAATAATAAAAACAAACTTAACAAAGACTTGTGAAATGAGAATGGAACCATCCTCTTGTTAGTTGAGGAGAGTGTGGTGACCCAAAAAGGGCCAATCAAAGTCAAAGTGGCACCACATGACGGGTACAGACTAGGCAGTTTCACTCTCTGTAGAACTTATAGCCTTACTTTATAGCCTTGTACTGATGTCTAGAAGCCAGAGCTTGAGCTGCCGAATAGTGATGTAGTACTCCAGTCTGATCTCAAGAGCGATTTCTGCTTTCTCGGACCTGTTCCTTCAAAGACTCTGACTCGGCATAGGTGGTCTTGTCCCCATAACTAAAAACTGCACTAAACAATTCCCAATCTAGCTTAGTCTTAAGGCCTAACTATTGATTATTAACTGGGGTGATATTAAATCATGAATATCAAAACTGATATGTCGGGACAAAATCTCAACTCCGACTTGCTTCCTCAAAGACTTGGTCTTGACTCGGACTCGACTTTATTTGAAAACCAACGGACTCGGTCTCGACTCCAACTCGACCCTTCAAAGACTCGGCCTTGACCTTGACTTAAGTTGGCATAGGCGGTCTCGTCCCCATCACTACTGTAGAAAGAAAAGGAAAGATTTTTCAAATGAGGGATGAGGTAAGATTATACTTCAGCTAGAACACTAGAAGATGGATACCTAGGATTCCCTAAACCCCATTTAACATTACAGTACTTTGAGGATTATCATCATTCATCAAAAACAGCTTTTCTCCCAAGCATATCCTGGCTCTAATAAAAAAGCTACAGTTACAGTGCTTGCCTTAATTAAAATCCATCTGCATCTGTCTCCCTTCTCTCTGATGCTGCACTGGTAGTTTACATGCCACTATTATTGAAGCACTTGAACATCTCTTGGCTTGGGGCAAAGTCCACATAATATGCCTCGTCTTCTCAGTCCGTATTTTATGTGGAGTATAATGCTGCTGAGTTTCGTGTCCCATTCTGTTCCTCAGTTTGGACTTGGCCAGGCTCATCTGTGAGAATCACTCATCCCTCTGCCTTGACTCGTTCTCTTTGGAGACCGTGAACCCAATGTCCGTAAGCCTCATTGAGGAGAACGGTGCTGCCATTTTTTTGTATTTTTTTCTGTGCTAGCGTGCTGTACGAGGTCCGCATGGTGTGCATGTATTTCACACTTACATACTCTGCATCGTGCTTTTGAGTCGTCCCCCATGACAGGTTGAATCCATTCTTTTACTCTTTTCTCGTTCTCCCAGTCTTTGTTACATTTCTTCCCATATTTTGCCCACTTTATCCCGGGCATTTGTTCCTCCAAAAACTCTCCTACAGTCCAGTCACCATCGGGTGCGCCTTGTGCGTATTTTTATTTAAACGTCACTGACTGACTTTTCCTAATCAAAAAAAAAACAACCACAATTGCTCTGCCTCTGCTCTGATTGGCTTGTACTCATTAACATGTGAGTGGGGAAAAATATAGCAACTTTGTTTTAAATTCACTTAAATTTCACATCTCCACAAACTCATTGTAATGTCACATTTACCTGCCCTTCAATATTTCAGAGCTATTTTCCCCTCTGTCATGTTTAACAGTAAAGCCAGGAGTTCGTCCAATCACAAACGATAGAACAATAATGTGTTTAGTGAAGGGCGAAGAGTTGTGTCCCGTTGACAGTTGAGTGTCTCAAAAATCAGAAATGCTGCAGTACTATGTGTAATGGACTTGACTGAATAGATCCAGTTACAAGTATTATATAATGTTACATTATTTTATATTATATTAGTTTTAAGGGGAATGGAATAGAATTTTGGCCCTTCTTCCAGACCTGCTATTTTATTTATTTATTTTTACGTTTAATACATTTACGTTTATTAGTTAATGTTTTAATTTAAATACATTGTCATTTAAATATTTCTTGTGTACACTAATTACAATTTACTCTATAATTCACAGATTTATTTTACCGCAATGTTATTATTTAACATGTTTGTGTATGTAAGAAAACAATCACAAAAAAGTAATAAAATAAACTAAAGTCGTAATTTAGGCCACTAGTGTCCTGGGCCCATTTGCCTGACGTACTCTGCAAACGACCCAGTGAAAAACACATTCAGCATTCAGTGATCTGGCTTCTCTGTCATGTGTCTGTATAACAGTGAACCCAGGAGTGTGTCCAAGAAGAAAATATAAACTAGCAATGTGTCCCCGGGTAACTTTCATGCCGTGTGTCGATGACAGTGACTGTGCCAGCAATGAGAAATGCTGCAGCAATGGATGTGGACTTCAGTGTATGGCTGCAGTTACAGGTATTTTTATGTTTTTAGTTTTATTATGTTATATTAGGTTTATTAGGCTTTGAAACATGTCATTTAAGTGAACTTAAAATGCATTTTTGTGAAGACTGTTTTAACAGGCTTAATTAAAGGATAGTTCACCCAAAAATGAAAATTAGCCCATGAAGTACTCAACCTGAAGACATTCTAGGTGTCTATTCTTTCATATGAATACAATCGGAGTTATATTAAATGTCCTGGCTCTTCCAAGCTTTATTATAGCAGTGAATGGCTGTTTCTGTTCTGCATTCCATCAAAGTGCATCTATCCATCATAAAAGTAATCCACATCCGGGGGGTTAATAAAGGGCCTATCCCTTTAGGAATGAATATAACTGATCAAATATAACTATAGTTGATCAACAAATTAAGCCAACTTGTATGATTTATATTATTTTATATTCTTAAGATGCAGATATCGGATTCTTTGGAGAAAGTTGTATTGGTGCATCCAAGTCATTTTTACCTGCCCTTCAATATATCTGGACTAATATATATTAGCCCTGATATATTGAAGGGCAGGTAAATATGATTTGGATGCACCGATACCACTTTCTCCAGAACGAGTCCGATACCTAGCCTGGGTTTCCCCATGCTGCCTTGCCGCAGCCGATTTTTATTCGCGCTGCTAGGCAGTCTGGATACCATGAACCAAATTTTCCCCAGAAATAGTGAACCAATCACAGAACGGGGAGGGAGCACAGGTGCATTTGACAGACGTACAGGTGCATTTGATAGACATCCGTAGCACCCAATAATACAGCTCTGGGCATTCGTAAACCACGCCTCAAATACGAGAAATTTAACGTGGTTTCCAGACCACGTTTCATTCTCAATGATGCGTGGTCTGGCGTTAGCCAGGCTATCCAATACCTGTATTTTCACTGGATTTGTGTTTTTTAAATGTATTTGGTAGAGAAACCAGAATAATGTAAATCATACGAGTTGGCTTAATTTGTTGATCAAATATACATATATTTCCTTCAGTCATTTTCATGCTTCAAGGGATAGGCCTTTATTAACCCCCCAGAGGCATGTGGATTACTTTTGATGGATGCAGATAGATGGGGATATTTTGTTTGTTTATTTATTTATTTAATAATTTTCACATTTGTTTAATAGCAAAGCCAGGAGTGTGTCCAATCAAAAAATATAAACCAGCAATGTGTGCCCGGATACGTTTTGTGCCGTGTGCCGATGACAGTGACTGTGCCAACAATCAGAAATGCTGCAACAATGGATGTGGACTTCAGTGTATGGATCCAGTTACAGGTATTATATTATTATGCTAGGTAGAGTTTTAAGGGGGGTTATGCAAGATAATTTTGGGCCTCTTACAGTTTATTTTTATTTATTTATTTTTTTTATTTTTTTTCATGTGTCTGTATTACAGTGAAGCCAGGAGTGTGTCCAGTCAGAAAACCTAAACCGTGGATCTGTCCCCTGATGACTTTCATGTCGTGTGTCGATGACACTGATTGTGTCAACAATGAGAAATGCTGCAGCAATGGATGTGGACTTGACTGTATGCCTCCAGTTACAGGTATTATATTATATTATATTATATTATATTATATTATATTATATTATATTATATTATATTAGCACAGCTGTGATTCGGCCAAAGGCCCGAGGCTGTTGTACGGTGTACATTATAGTACATCCTCAGACCTCGGCCATCAGACTAAAAGTCTTCAGCTATTGACTCAAACTGCTTCTTGCTTCAGGTCACAGGAAAAAGTCAGGTTATTATATGATAACAGGTTATTATATTAAACATGTCCCACTAAGATTATTTTGTAAATTTGTGTTCACTAGCTTTAGTTGCAGGTTTAAAAACTACTTTGTATATAAAAACATTGCAACTATCTAGTTTGTATGTTGACAAAATATGAAGTTGAATATGAATACTTTTGAGCTTTTTTTACACTTTATTTATTTTTTATCATAAACAGATTTGTGTTTAGAGGTTACCAGAGAAATTGCTAAATGTATTTATGCTGTCAATCGATTTACCAAAAAAAAAAATATATATATATAAATGTATTTATCAACTAATTCTACTTTATGAAGGCCAGGATCACTGATACTAGAACTGCTCCTGATGTCTAACTGGTAGGGAATATACGGAAATTGAATAGTTATCAAACACTTTACAGTCTTAACTACACAAAGCATGAATTAACTATAGATTAAGTCTTATTAAAGCTACAACTCTTTTAGCTTTTGTTCTTTGATTTAACACTTATTTACATCACAGCAACTGGTTTATTTTAAACTAACCATGTAGCAACGTTTTAAAAATAGATTGAGTACTCGCAATACTCACAATAAAACAATATTGTGCTTTACAGTTTTATTTTACTTATTCAAAACTCTTCACAACGTTCTTCTAGCAGTTCATTTCACATTCAAAAATACACTAAAACTAGCAAAACATTTAATTCATTTATCAGATCAACTCATTCTTCCTGACCACTAGCAGTGGTTTCACACAAACGCACTCCTAAAACCCAAACATCAGGTAGCGTTATACAATGTTCTTTTTCTTTACAAACAAGAATGACACTCATACTGTAGTAAGTAAGCATTATTGTAACATTGTCTATGTTTGCATTACTAAACAATCCCTAAAAATGATCACATTCACATTAAAACCATATATATTCTTGTGTGAGTTTTCAGTGTTTAGCCCAGAACATGCCAAGCCGACGGTCGGCCGTCTGGCAGATTTTGTGTCGGCCAACTAAGTTTCCTCAGTGTGATACGCACGGTTCCGTGCCGTTGGCTGAAAATAGTCCTCGACGGCTTGTTTCGCCCGATTCGACATGTTGAATCGCCGTCGGGGAAAGAGAGAACTCTGATTGGCTGTTCAGCTTAGTGAGAGTCAGTGCACGAGAATAAAAGCAAAAATGCAAGCAAAGAAGTCAAAACGGTAAAGATAGAAGGCTGTTCTTATGTTACGTCATCTTACCTGAGTGTTCCTTGGCGAATATTTCAATATTAACATGAGCGGAGTGGAATAAAGAAAGTGTTTAGCAGGATTGATATTCAAAACGGTAAGCACACGCTGCTTTGTTTACGGTATGTGTATCGGCAGCCGGCAGCGTCAGTTTTCCTTTCTGAATGATGAATATAGACTAATATATCTGCAGATATAGACAGTTGGCTCATTAAACACACATTCTAGCTGACAGTCGGCTGCAGTTCTCTCGGTGTGTCCAAGTGCAGCTTTTTACCTCGACGAGAGGCGACAACACAGTCGGCTTCCTCAGTGCTAATTCGTTGGCATCGGCTTGGTGTGTTCTGGGCTTTACTGACTGAGAGAGAGCGAGAGAAAATGTAGATAAGATCCCCTCAGAGGATGGAGGTATTTGACATTGTCTTTAGAGGCCACTGGTCATATTTTCTCTTTAACCAGTTTACAGTCTTACAAGAGTCTTTCCTTGCCATTAATTCTTGGATAACACGCTTAGGCCTACGTCTCTTTTCATTAATAATAATGTCTAGTGTGGTGGCTGTGATGTATTTAAACCTACCAACATCCGTTGCCATGATTTTTGGAATGACTGATCGCAAGAGGAATAAAATTACGTTTTAGTCGCATAACATATTTTAATGGGATCGCCGTCATTAACAAAATTAATAAAGATGAATAATACTTAAAATGTAATTCACTCTGGAAGTAAAACTAGCTTTTCATGCCTTGAGTGTCTTGTGCTGAAAATCGCTTAATGTCATTAAATTGCCAGACTAAATCTGAATCTCTATCCATACAGGCTTGCCGTAAGGGAATCCAGTGTGTGCTGAATATTGTTCCCATGATGGTCAGTTCCCTGCCGGACAGAAATGCTGCTCAACCACCTGTGATCATGCATGCAGTGAAACTCTGCCAGTTTAACCACCGGAAACAGTTGTGGGAATGATTTAGCATAATACATATTTTCTTTTACTTGAATCAATTCAGTGCTTTATTTCTTTTTCTCATCTCTTGTGTGCTTAATATTATTGTGCATTTGAGAAAAATCTACCAACATTTTAACCCAAATTAGTGTGTTGAAATAACGGATGCATATGGACATGGCTAGACGGCTAACTAAATATAACAACCCCATGATGAGTAACCAGTCATATTAGAGAAAGATAATGTAATGAGTCATGTTACCTTTGCCATGTACCTATCCTATATAAATTGTTCTTTTTGCCAGTGGGATTCTCTGTGATTGATATGAGGGCCTCCTGGCCGTGAATAAAGCATATTCAAAGTCATAATTTGGAGTCTTTCTGATCACTGCTGTGTCTAAGGCTAGACACTAGAGAAATACTTCTATTATGTGTGATAGTGTTTAGTGGAAAATAAGAGATCTTATTTTCATTCCCAAGTGATGGTGCTGAAGTGGAGCACTAGAGACCTGTGGAACAAGTGGGGAGACGTCTAGTCAAGTCACCTTTATTTACAGTATAGCGCTTTTTACAATACTGATTGTATCAAAACAGCTTCACAGTGATAACATGAAAATAATACAACACAGATCAATAATATTGTTGAATATTAAATGTCCCCAACTGAGCAAGCCAAAAGCCAGGGCAACAGTGGCAAGGATCCAAAACTACATCAGGTTACAGAATGGAGAAAAAAACACTTTGGGAAAAATCCAGCCTCAGTTGGGGGCCAGTTCTCCTCTGGCCAACAAAGGAACAGTGATTACAAAACAAATTGGATCGAAACGTTAAGAGTATTTTTCCATTTCCATCTGTTTGTAAGTCGAAGTAATCACGCCGGTTTGGAGATGAGATGTTGAGGATCAGTGCCGATGGCTGTCGTGCAATGAGGTCATACTTCCTGGTTCTGGTAAAAATTCGAGCTGCTGCGTTTTGAACTCACTGAAGTTTGTTTATTAAGCGTGCAGGGCAACCACCCAGAAGAGCATTACAATAATCTAGCCTCGATGTCATGAACGCATAAACTAATTTTTCCGCATTTGTCAATGAGGGCATATGGCGTAATTTAGATATATTTTTAAGATGGAAAAATGCGGTTGTACAGATACTACACATGTCTTTCAAATGAGAGATTGGTATCCAAGAGCACACCCAGGTGCCTAACTGACGACGAAGACTTAACAAAGTAGCCATCAAATGTTAGAGAGTATTCTAGGGTGTTACGTGTGGACGTTTTTTGCCCATTAATTAGAATCTCTGTTTTTTTTTTTTTCAGAAATTTAGTAGTAGGAAATTACTAGTCATCCAATTTTTTATATCCGCTATGCATTTTGTTAATTTTGTGAATTGGTAAGTTTCGTTAGGTTTTGAAGAAATATACAGCTGAGTATCAGCCTAGTACAGTACCTACTGAGCGTTGTGGTACGCCACACTGAACTTGTGATCGATAAGACGTCTCTTCATTTACTGCTACAAACTGATAATGGTCAGATAAGTATGATTTAAACCATGCTAATGCAGTTCCACAAATGCCAACTTAGTTTCTAGTCTATTTATCTATTTAAAAGAATGTTGTGGTCAATTGTGTCAAATGCAGCATTAAGATCGAGTAACACTAATAGAGAGATACAACCACAATCGGATGATAAGAGCAGATCATTTGTGACTCTAATGAGAGCTGTCTTGGTACTATGATGTGGTCTAAATCCTGACTGAAAATCCTCGCAGATGTAATTTCTTTCAAGAAAGGAACAGTTGTGACGATTCTGTTTTTTCCAGTATCTTTGACAGAAAAGGCAGATTCGAGATTGGCCTGTAATTCTGTAGGATCAAGTTGCTTTTTTTAACAAGCAGTTTTATCATATCTAGCTTTAAGGTTTTTGCTACGTATCCTAGCGACAAAGACGAATTAATGATAAGACGAGGATCTATGACCTCTGGAAGCATCTCTTTCAGTAGTTTAGTCGGTATAGGGTCTAGCATACAAGTGGTTGATTTAGATGAATTAAAGAGTTTGCAAAATTCTTCCTCTAGCAGCAAATGAACCAAGTCTTTCCCCAGGGAGACAACAATGCACCCCCTAATGCGATACTGTAGTAGACGGTTGGTATAGTAATCATTTTGTCCCTCATATTATTCATCGTATAAGTGAAGAAATTCATAAAGTCATTACTGCTGTGTTGCTTGGACACTTCTGGGCTTGAAGCTTTCTTTTTCGTTAGTTTAGCGCCACTGTTTTAAATAGATGTCCTAGGGCTCCAGACTAACTTTTTTCACCACCGTCCTGAAACCATCCTGAAAAACAATTTGAACCGTCCTAAAGTGAAAGT